TTACCGTTTGCTCCTAAAACCAGCTGTATCTGTTCGATATCATCTTTCAATTGCTCCAATTCACCACCAACACGACTTGTGCTTGCCATTTCTCGGCAAATATCGCTATTTGACATCGTTCAAGAAAGAATACATCCGCACGCAAGTCGCCATATTTCAACGATGGGTCAACGTTGAGGTCAGAGTTCGAAGCTCACTAGCGTGTGACAGAGGAGTAATTTCAAATTACAAATCAATGTAAATATGAACTATAAAAATGGGAATATATATTAATAATGAAATTATAGCCTGAAATAAGATGCATATGAAATATTATGCATGTATACCATGAACATTACTACTCCAGGGGCCAAATGCTCAGAATGTTCGTTCTGCAGTCAATAGTTGCATGTGATATTTGTCATTCCGTCTTGTGGCACAGGATTGAGGGTGAATGTCGAAGTAAGGGCCTTTATATTTCCAAAGATAATGTAATTGTTTTAATAAGTTTATATTCAGGCAAACAAAATCCAAAGTCCAAACACATCATGTAATAAAACGAAAGGTACTTTGATGTAAAATTCAATCAAAAATAAAATACTATATAAAAAATTTTTGGAGATATTCCGACTATAGTTACGAAATTTTACTATTTTTGTATGAATTGGCAAAACAGAAATGTATGTAATTTATTCGCACTATGCCCAACATCAAAATAAATGTAATACTAGTATTATGCAGATTTGTATGCTGGAAATTACATTTGGACGATTTTACTCCTAATAAAATTAAAATTATCTGAGGTCATAGTTTCATTTTGAGTGCCTAAGGGTGTGAGCAGAATTTATGGCAGAGGGGTTGAGAAAATGGGGGGTAACGGAAAAATATGGGTGGCTCTGGGGGGCTTTGAAATTTTATGACAGCTGTCCGGGGGGCATAACATTTTAAAACACGACAACGTATAACAATATTTGTCATATTTTATTCACTTTTTAACTTAAAAAAACAAAACATATTTGTAAATGTACTAGTATAATAAATAAAACATATCGGTAGAACAACAGTTAAGTTTACATGTAGTTTGACCAAAAAACGGTGTGATTTGATTGTAAATTTTTATGGTGGTAAAAACCTTTTTTGTAAATATGATGTATTAAAGGTAGCAACAGAGGAAATGTGGACATATAAAATAATGAATAATAGTTTGTTTGTTTGTTTTTTAAAGCAAGGAAACTAGCACCATCGTTTAACAAACTGTATACATATCTTCCTGGTACCAGAGGTACATTACTTGGGGTTTGCAACTAGCATAGTACTGTATGGTGACATCATGTCAAGATCCCATTCAAGTCTCTTCTCGTAGATAGCGAGACTGAGGCTACGACCTTCTGACATGACGCATATCAATGTTCAAGGTTTGTAATGAAAAAAATAAACTTTTCTTGTCACTATCACAGTGAAAAATGTAATACATCGAAAATGTACAGAAAATATAGTTCTCGTACTCCGTCATATCGTGAGCAGCTGTTTTGATCCACCTGGACATCCCAGTATCCGAGTTACCTCGGGCATGCGCATTCGCATTTTTTCTGAGTTGGAACGCTTATGCGAGAGCGAGATTGTGACGGGATCTTGGTATCATGTCACCGTAGTTACAAACCCCAAGTAATGTACCTCTGCTGGTACCAATTATTGCACTCAATGTACTATGCTATAACAAGAGGGGGGGCAAGGGGGTAGCTGGTACAGTTTTACGGGAAATAAAAAGGGCTTTTTACAATTTACAAGGAAAAAAAAGACGTTTTTACAGTTTACAGTGAAAATTGAATTTTGCAGTGAAATGTGTCATCTGGTCGTTTTACAGTTTCGAAAATGTAATTTCCCTGGATTATTCTTTACGACTTTTTTTTATTTTGGATGTAAATTCCTGTACGTACCGAGAAAAATGACACATTTTTACAGTGTACGAAAAAAATATTTGATTGATTACGTTGTACGTCCAGCCTGTCATCAGCATTATCAGGGTTCTCAAATGCATTGATTTTTCGTAAGTAAATTAGACAATTGAGGTGTTTCCTTGGCAACAGCTTCGGTTTGGCAATTTTATTAGTAATAATAACAGTATCTGGTTTATGTCCATATTTGGATTTAACAACTTTTTCTCCCATATCAGAGCTATATGCATCAACCACTAACATCTTTGCCTGTTTGATGATTCTTTTTTTTTTTCTTTTGGTATTCCTCTTTGTGTGTTCTTTCTTTCCATGTTTTGTCCGTACTCGTTCTATTAATGCAACACGAGTATTCATTTTGTAAAAGAGGGTGCCCCTTTAGAAAAAATGACATATTTGTAAACCCCCCCCATATATATATATATTTTCATGTATTGTTATTGATTTTTACATGTATATATGAAGCAACATAAATGCTTAGTGAGAGGAGAACTTCAGTCAGTCTAATTTGTAGATATATCTTCTTCAGATAAAATGTTTTACTATAAACAGTTGAGATAAAACTGTCGCCTCGAAAAAGCATTTTGATAAATAAACATTACTACAAGCAATCCACTATGCACAACTTTTTCGGCAGATTTCATTTCTGTGAAGTAAAAATACACAAATTGACAAATAATATTTTGAATTTATATTACCAGTTCTACTCACTTGTCTGAAGAAAGTCCATGTTATGATTTAGAACAGTCTCTTCACTGTACAAAGTTATGCACCTATCGGAAATATAACTAGCCGAGCTTGATGTCGATTTAGGATTCTGCTTACAAATAATTTAGCCAATCATAGTACGTTAATTTTAGCCAATAAAACAACCTCATTAATAGTTATTTACCTATCAGCTCGTCTCCCTATTACCCAATCATGTACAAGGCCAAAGTCACTTTCCGCCAAAATGCAAGGAATGTAAACTTGTGTATATAAGTGGGTGCTTTGACACACCACGGGAGGAGGTTTCAATAAAGTCATCTGTTATAGTGTACACCAGTTCGTCTCTTGTTATCCACCCCTGAACCTTATCTTAACAATTACTCACAGCACCCAAGACCAACAAATCTATCTTTTGCTACATGGCCACCATCTTTTTTCAGGGTGAGACATTTTTATATTTTTTTTTGTGTAATCTGACTGATTTGACAATACTGACAATGTCTGTAGTCTAGGTGGTAGTGATGATATTGTCACTAGTGATCGTAGTGGGTCTAATACCACTTGTGTTGGTGGCAATGAGGATGTTGCTCCTGGTGATGGTCTGTTGCTAGTGGTTTAGATGGCAGTGTAGATGCATTGTCAGCTTTAATAAGACGTGTTTTGCAATAATGAATACTTCTTTAATTATATTTACACATATTTTAAACACAATAGATTTGCATGTACTGACATTTCATGTTTATTTTTGTGGTATATATTATTTTACATCTGTTAAAAAATATTTTCCATGTGTATATTTTTATTTTATTATATTTAAATATATTCAGTTAAATATATTTAAATATATAAAAAGTCACTGCTCCTCTGTGGCTTTGGAACATATGCTGACCCCCTCTGTTTTGCCCCCCCCCCCAGGAATAATAAATGGTAATTTCTTTACTAGGGGGGTCCAGGAGCATACTCCCCCTTAGAAAATTGAAATCTAGACCCTCTGAAACGACATTTCCTGCACTTTTTCGGAGGGGCGACCGCCCCCTCTTCCCCCCGTACCGTCGCCACTGATTTGTTTACTGTAAAACATAGAAGCTTGAAGTCAATGCAATGCAAGTGTAAAATTATCGTGTTTAGAAACGGAGTTAGACATAATTAGATAAGAATTGATATATGGATGGGGTAAGGGTAGAAGTTGTCTCATATTCCAATTATTTGGGTATAACACTTTCATCATCGGGTTTATGGACACACGCTCAGCAAATAAAGCGGTGCATAGTGTAAACAGATATTAAGTCTATTTAAGAATGTTAAAATTAATATTGCTCTGATGATTTGTGACGACAAAATCGTACCAATAATGAATTATGGTTGTACAATTTGGGGATTCCATGCTGGAGAACATATTGAAAACGACCTTACCTCTTTTTGCAACTACTGTAAAACACATTGAAATAGCTACATGCCATTTTAGCGAATTTGACTCAATACATGAATTAACAAAATCTTAATTTAGCTAAAATGCCAACAATCTCATTGTGAGAATCTACTTTATTCTAAATTAGCGACATCTTGAATTAGCGAAATTACAGATTGGCTAAATGAGCTAAAATGACATGCTAGAAAGACGTGCTTTAAAGTATATACTAAATGTTATAATACAAACAACACCGCTGGACTTGGTAGAGTTCCATTGAGAACCCTTAGATTGTCTCGTATTGTTAGATATTAGTAAACATCCTGCATTCGTGACAATACGTTGTATATTAAATATTGTTATAATTACCAATTTGAAATGATTGAAACGGGCTGGGCATATAATATAAAGGATCTGTTGTTTAGATCTGGTCTCGACGTGGGCTGAGATTTGCAAGGGTTAGCAATATAAATATGTTTGTATCCGCCTTTAAACAAAGATTGCTCGACATCGCTGTGTATTAATGGTCAATAATATCTGTCTTTATTGATAACGATTTTCTTATACGCATACAGATGTCGTGCTTCTAGTCACAGATTACGCATCGACAGTGGTAGGGCGGAAAACATTCCCAGAGAAAGAAGAATCTGAACTTTATGTGTTTTGCAGAAAGTGGAAGACGAATTTCATTTTTGTTGCGAATGTCTGTTATATAAACATTTGTGAGAACCCCCTTACTATTACAGATACCCATCATCTATAAAATTTAGGTTCTTCTTTCAAAGTATATATTTTATGGTTTCAAATTAAGAGACAATATTATTTCCAATGTTAATTAAGATGACACGAAAAAGGTACAATACTATTCTGCCATAATATTGTATATCCGAGATAAAGATTTTGTTCACGATGATTTGAAATTTTATTAATTGAAAAGTAATGTGATGCATTCCATTAAATGGAAGGTACCAGAATTGTTCTTCTTCAATCCGTCCACCCATTTTGTTTTAAAGAAAAAAAAAACTTTTTACTGTTAATTCTTGATGTAATACATGTACTTTATTGTATTTAAGTTCCATGGAGGAAACGATGCAATAAAGATTACTGTTACACGTGTTATTACTACTAGTAATATTGAAATATTGAAGTATTTTGAAAAATTACATTGGATAACGATTACCAAATTTGTCTACTATATATCATATTTACTACAAGTGTTCAAGACACAATCATGATTGTAAGTTTCTTAGACAAACTGTGTCTATTACTATAGTCATATACCGTGAAACCCATTACAGGGAATGCATGTGAATTAAAATCATTTTTTACGTGTTTTACAATTTATTCATCCGTCCAGCTTCAACCAGCTGACATTTTAAAATTCGAAATCACATTATGTACTTAGTACAAACTACGTAAAATCGTGTATCGTAGCAACGCGTAGTACGCCAGAATATTGCTGGCATGGTTTCTTCAATATTTCGCAGTCACTAAAATGTGAGGTGTAACAAATTTTGAAATTACCAATATACCAACTATCAAGCCGGAAACATTTATGATATATATGTGGTGTGTACTCTTGGGTAGAAAGTGAACTTATGATATTTAAGACATAACTCGGAATAGTTTGGAACAGACCCGCGTTATTTTGGACCTGGCTCGGAATAGTTTGGACCTTACTCGGGTTAGTTTGACCAGACTCGGGTTAGTTTGGACCTGACTCGGATTAGTTTGAGCCTGACTCGGTTTCGTTTGCACCTGACTCGGAATAGTTCGGACCTGACTGCATTAGTTTGGACCTGACTCGGAATTGATCGGACCTTACTCGGACTAGTTTGGACCTGACTCGGAATTGATCGGACCTTACTCGGGTTAGTTTGGACCAGACTCGGGTTAGTATGGACCTGACTCGGGATAGTTCGAACCTGACTTGGGTTAATTTGGACCTGACTCGGAATAGTTCGGTTTTCTTACAGTACTACATCAACTTGAAATTTGATTGTTGGACATATTGCATTGTTCTCACTTCTAGTCAACTTGTCCCTGCTACTAAATTCTCATAGTGGTAGGTTACAAATACCCATCTGAAGAATAACTTGCACGAAATTAAGACAACTCCATGTATTTAATCTCCAGGCTTATGAAGCCTGGATAATCCTTTAACATCGCCTAAAATCGCAATGGGAATTTCCCATTCGTTTATGATTTGTTGCCTGCAGTTAAAATTTTGCGAATAATATGACGTATCTAGTGTTACAATGTTTCAAAAATCAAGCAGTGACATGGTGTTAAATCCCAGTGTTCTCTTCTTCATGAGCGCCACCACACGACTTTATAGAGCATATAAACGGCGCTCTCGTTTTTTGTCGTGCAAGTATACAGATCAAAAGAAGGCCGTTCAATTAAATTTTGACAGTAGCCGTTCATCACCAATCAGATAATATAGTGTTTATGAGAGATTTACTAAACGCTACGACACGAAAATCATAAATAAACTTAACTCCATAAAACGCTACAGGCAAATGTGCGAATTAACAATCAACATGTGCACGAACCGAAACTATGGTTATATGCACTTGAACCGATCACTAAAACGATGACTGATTGCAAATCTACATAAAGACAAAAAAGACCAAGTTACAGAAATTAAATTACACCATATGTACTATTGGTCATGTGGTCCACTGTTCCGACTGTTGGTTAGAAAATGTTGGTTATCGTGTATAACGCCCCCCCCCTTCGCGGCCGTTTGATTTAAACTACGAGTGTTTTTTTTAAGCGCGGGAGGGAGGGGGGCCACCTGCGCACGCGCGTTGAGTGCCAAGCGACGATAACAACGCACACTAAAAACGCGGCAACGGCTCGTATGTAGACGCTTGTTTGTAAACAATGACACGCAAAGGCTCTACTGCTGCATGTGCAGGTGACGACTTCCCCGCTTTAAATAAACCACGACAACCCACACCTACGTGGCGTTTCATTAATAAACCAACGACCAGAACAGTAGGTCACATGACTATGGTGGTACAATGCTTAGACAGACACAATGTGATAGATTAGTCAAATAAATAAAACCAATGTTATGCACAGATACAGGGATGGCCAGGGATGCTTTCGTTGCACGAGGTAGTTTCACGAGAGTAACATAAAAATAAAGAAACCAACATTTAGAACCAACATTTCCATTTATAAGGCATCTCATATTTAAAAGTGCGATAGTGAAAATATAAATAATCTTCTAATTTATTGGGAATGTTAACTCCCATACCGAGAAAAGATTTATATTGCAGTGGGACTACCATTGACATTGGGAATGTCTGTAAAGAGTAGTCAATCATTTCTATGTAAGTCATTTTGTCCCCGTCTTCAACTATAGGAAACCTTCTTAACATCTGACGAGTTTTTCCATGGGCATGGTCTTCATATGAAATGTACATCATAATATCCAAAGTTACGTCTTTGTATTTGAATACACAAACTCCAATTCTGTCGCCGTTTTTGTTGTAGCAACTTAAATAAGAAATGTGTTTCTTGGTTAGTGATTGGATCAACTGTTTTTCGTCGTATTTACCACCATAGGGATAAAGAACAGCCAGGTCAGCGTCGTAGTCATGTCTGTGAATTGAAACAAAAAGTTAAAGCGGGGGAGTCGTCACCTGCGAATGCGTCAGATGGCTATAGCGTATCTTTGTTTACAAACAAGCGTATACCCATGAGCCTTTGCGTTTGTTATTATCGTCGCTTGGGACTCAATTCCCGCGCGTGCGCAGGTGACGACCCTCCCGCTTTAAATACGGTGAAATTCATTCTGTGTACTTGGCTGAATCACGAGCGTTCTGAAGTTGCGCAAACAGAGTATGTAAAAATACATACAAATAACGGTTTCTGCTATACATGCAAGTGAATGTAAGTTTTGATGATTTCCAGTGATGAGGATGTTTCGACGTCAGAGGCTCGTTATTATTGGCGACCAGATAGCTGACACGTAGTGCGAGAAAGGATGCTTTCAAATGGCCACCCTTTAATCTTTTTGAAGAAAAAATATTCCCACCGTTTATGGCAAGGATTCCTTATTTTAGTTTGTGAGCCAAATTTTGTAGACTTACAAAATTTTGCCCAACGAATTGTGCTCTAAGTGACGTACCACGCCCATGATGCCACGTAAACGTGACATTGTTTAAAGTTAGGGGCCTACTCATGAATAAATACATTCGAACTACGTCCACATTTCATTATGCCGTACACTGAGCCAATGTAAAACAGATTGCTCAAAAAAATGAGCGGCCATTTTGTCAGTTTCGGAACTTTTATATAATTGAAATGGAAAGCCTCTCATATCTCATCTTTTCAACAGACACAGGGTTAAATAATTGCGTATTAATCTGTGTTGTTGACTAATGAAAAGGGACATGGTTACTTAAAAATTAATTGTTTTGAAGTCTTTTTGTAAATTTTTGCATTGAGTTTCATTATTACTGGCACAATCGTGGACAGGGAAACTGTGATAAAGCTTTTAAGCCATTGAGTCGATTTATTATTTTATCTCAATTTTGCACTGTCCAGCTATTCGGGGTGTGCCTGACATATAAACATATTACCAATGTGTGATGTCGATAACCACGCAAAACGCCAAATCTGTTGCACTGTACCCACCTTAATATATCCTTGGTTCGATAATAACCGAGCAGAGTTCCCGAAGTCAACCAGTACGTAACGTTAGCGGCCTTGTACTCAGCGATGACGCTGGTTAATAAGTATATCAGGTCATCACTCTGTTGGTCTGTGAGGTAACACCTATCATGCCATCCTCTGGTGATTCGCGGCATGAAGAATATAAAAACATAACCAAAAAAAGTGAAAACGAACATACAGATCAGCTTATAATGGAGTTTCATCGCTGCGTTAATTGTTTGACATGGAGTTATCTAAATGATAATGACGATATATTCGCCTCGTATCGAGATACGTCCATTAATGACCTTTAAAGTTTTACTGATAGTTATTTTTAACTATAATATTTCTGAAACACGGTTGAACGGGAAATCGATGAATGGTTTGCCTTAATTGTCGACGTGTGCAGACATGTCCACACATGTGGGCCGACAATGCTACGATGTTCTATTCCTGAACAATAAATAAATAAACATAAATTATAAATAAATACAAATGGGTTGAATACTCTACCTTTTTCCTATTATAAGTCGACGTCGCGCACACTAGATATGACGCGCTGTGGGTTGGAACGGCCGTGCAAAGCGTCGATATGTTTTAATATGATCTGTATACGACCGTCAGTAAAAAAGACCGTTTTTTAATGATTTACAATTATAATATTGAAAAAAAAGACTGCATGACCAAACAGATGGCTGCTTTAACGGCAACGTTTTCGCCCATATAAGCCACTTTCACGTCATAGAAGTGTTGTCATACGTACATCATGTACGCACATTTGGTTCACACGAAGTTTCATTATTGTTTAGAATAAAAAAAACTTGCATGTTCAGGGCAGACATTACAAACATATATTTCAGGAATTTGATAAATAGATTGTTTACTAATTGTATTTAGTTGTGGCAACTTCGCAATGCTTTAACCGTGAGACATTATCATCCATGATAATCACGTGATCGTGCCAACGGCTGCACCGATTGGCTGATTGCATTTTTACTCTGCCACACTTTGGAGTTTTATTGTGGAGTTGTGAGATTTTGTAAAAGAAGAAGGGAGAGAAGAACGAAAGAAGTGGGTAGCGAGGCATGGCCTCCGCTGACGGTTTGAAGTGGACTATCTGTAATTAACTAATGAGTGTTCATTTGGGTCGAACCTGGTATCTCTACAGGGTTAGTGTCATGTCATCGGCACGCTCGCCGGAGTTCCCTCAGCTCGACGTTCCTTTCGCAGCAGAAGAAGCGCGCTGTCTCTAGGGGGCGTAAACATACATTCCTGGCTAGAGTATAATATAATAACATTCCATTATTTCCAGTCAATATAAGACATCACGTTTGTTTCACTAAAAATATCTCAGAACTGAAACGACATTTTCTCAAATGATGATATGTTCATTCTTTATTATATATTAGTAAAAGTATATTCGTCAATTTAGTAATAGTGGTTTTACTTCAATATTTCGCTGCCACTAACATGTGAGGTGTAAACAATTTTGAAATTTGTACCGGTTTCCCCCACACACCAATTATCATGCCCAGAACTTTTAGGATGAATGTGTTGTGTTCAGACCTGACTCGAGTTTGTTTAGACCTGACCCGGAATTGTTCAGACCTAAAACAAGCTGAAACAATAACGGAATAGAAATTTCGTTTCAGAAACCAAGCAGTGATATGGAGCTAAATTTCTATGACCTTTTCTTTATGAGCGCCACCACATGACTATATCACGCGTATAAACGGCTCTCTCGTTTTTTGTCGTACTTGTATACAGATGAATAGAAGGACAATCAAACAATTACGTCTCAATTTTGACCGCAGTCGTTCGTCAATAATTAGATAACACTGTGTTTATAAGAGATTTACAAACTGATACATTATCAAATTAATACATATAATACGCTTAAATCCAGAAAATACGCTACATAATAAATGCACAAATGACACCCGCTAATTACCAATCAACATGTACACGAACAGAAACTGTGGTTTTATGCATATGAAACAAACTGTGTCGATTACTAATATGCAAATGAAACAAACTGTGTCGATTACTAATATGCAAATGAAACAAACTAGTGGCGTTTACTAATATGCACATGAGA